CGTCTCATCCTTGGCCTATCTGGCTCAGCTCAGTGAGGTCAAAGCAAGGGTTCATGTTTTCTCACACTCAGTCACCTCCCTGCTGGCCGCCAGGGCCTTCACCTTTGACCAAGAGGGCCCGAGGTCGCCACCACCTGCACCTCAGGCGACACCCGGTGGTTATGTGCTGGCAGTCAGCTTCCATGGTCTCTGCCTTGAGGAGGGCACCTGGGTGCTGAGAGCAGGGGTCACCTCAGCTTTGCCAGTGTCCCTTGCCATTTGCTTGAAGGTCACAAAGCCCTTGGAGTGGGGCGACTTGCTGGTCCCGGCAGTTTGAACCATTGAAGGGGCTACATCTCCGGTCCGGGTGCCAGGGTGAGCCAGGGTGAGCCAGTCTTCAGCTGGTGCCTGTGAAACAATAAGAAATCATGTGTATTTATCTCTGTCCCTCACCCCCGCTGCTAATGTTTGATTTTAGATCCCAGTTCCTAACACAGAGCTCCTAACGCAGTTGGGATTTCCTAGGGATAGAAGCTGGGAGCGTCTTTTGTGCTAAGGAGGTGGGCTCCTGGATGCGGGCAGGTCACCAGAAAGACCAATCCATGATGAGAAAGGCTTGGAACTTAAGCCCTGCCCCGCATACTCCAGTGAGGAGAGGGGCTGGAGAATGAATTAATCACTACTCAGGCTGAAGCCTCCATAAGAACCCCCTCCGTGGGGAGTGGGTGGGGTTTGGAGAGGACTCAGGAGCTCTGAAACCCTTCCCAGACCTTACCCTTTGTATCGTTCCATCATCTGTATCCATTATCACCTCCTTTATTACATAGCAAACCAGTAAGCAGTATTTTCCTGAGTTCTGTGAGCCACTCTAGCAAATTATCAAACCCTTGGAGGGGTGGTGGGAACCCTGATCTGTGGCTGGTCGCTCAGAAGGGAGGTGACAGCCTGGACTTGCGATTGGCACCTGAAGTGTGTGTGTGTGTGTGTGTGTGTGTGTGTGTGTGTGTAGGGGCGGGTGCTGGATTTCAGGTGGTCCCCTTGGGCCGTTTGAGAGAGAAGCAGACCTCAGAGAAGATGGCAAGAGAGTGAG